TGTCTGTGTCTGTGTCTGTGTCTGTGTCTGTGTCTGTGTCTGTGTCTGTGTCTGTGTCTGTCTCTGTGTCTGTGTCTGTGTCTGTGTCTGTGTCTGTGTCTGTGTCTGTGTCTGTGTCTGTGTCTGTGCGCGCGCGCGTGTGTGTGTGTGTGTGTGTGTGTGTGTGTGTGCACGTGCGCGCGCGTGTGTGTGTGCAAGCGCGCGTGTGTGCGCGTTCACTGCGGGTGCAGGTTCTACTGACAGTAGGATAGGGTCTAAAGGTTATGGGAAGCTGAATTTTGAAGCTTAGGGGAATAAAGACAGAGGTTAGCGGTGAGGCGCTTGAGGACCAGCGAGAGATCTTTTCAACCAGAAAGGCGTGTCGCTCTGCATCTGATGAGCCAACATTTGGAATCGAACCGGTTGCGCCTAAACCCTATACCCCAAATCTCAAATCCTTCGAACCTCAAAGAGTCCCAAAAACTCCCTGACTACGAGATACATGGGTGGTTGTCGAAACTAGGTCCCGGTTGGGGTTGTTATAGGGTGCCGCATTGAGAGTGAGAATTGTATGTAGGGTTTCCCAACAGGACCATGATTTTCGAGGGTCCCCAGTAGCCGGATCGGAATCCCAAAGGATCCAAAGTACCCATATAGTCCAGGGTTTAGGGTTTTTTTAAAGTGCAGTGGGACTTTCTCCGCATTTAGGGTTTAGGGAGTAGAATGTAGGGTTCAGGGCTTAGGGCTTATTAGGGTTTATATTTGGGAAAGTATGCCCCATAAACCCCTAAACCCTAAACCTAATACCCAAAACCCTAACAGTACCCATAGTACCCTTTCCCCAAAGCTCCATCTACCCATATAGTAGATACTTAGGCCTTAAAGTACCTGTATATGGACCCCTTTAAGGCCTAAGTATCTACTACTGCTGATGGACAAAATTTTGCATAACCCAAATATAGTATAGTACCATAAATCCCATAGTTAGGTATATAAGGTCATTTAGGATTTTGTCCATCAGCCGTATAAAGGTAAATGGAGCCTTTGGGTTTGGGTAAAGCTTCAGAGGAAGTCGAGGCTTTGGATCCCAGGGTTCGTGTTGCAGGATCTGAGATTTTGACAAAGGCTCCGGTTTGAGGTTTACCTTAAGAACCCAAAACCCACTTTTTTGTAGGGTCCCTATAAATCCCATATTAGGGTTTACAATAAGAACCTACAAAAAAGTGGGTTTGGGGCTCTTAAGGTAGGGTTTAGGGATTCGGCTTTTGGGGTTTAGGGTTGATGAGTGGGGTTTAGGGTTTAGGGATTCGGGTTTGGGGTTTAAAGTATACGGCGCTGAACTCCAAATCCATCGCTCCCGTGTCTCCTTTTTTCTGTTGGCTTCAGCAGGGAGCACAGTGGTGCTCGTGGCACAAAGCCAATTCCAAAATTGCTGGACATGTGCTGTACAACTGTACACATACTTGCTCCTCGGTAAACACCTCGCTACAAAACTTCAACTTTGCACCCTAAACCCTAAACCCTAAACCCTTATAAACCCTAAACCCTAAACCCTATGTAAAACGAGATGGCCTTGGAGATGGGCTTCATGTCCAGATGCGTCTGTACACTGGTGCACAGCGGTAGAACGTGCGTGAAGCACCTTGGTTATAGCGGGGGGTTTTAGGTTGGTTTAGGGTTTAGGGTTTTGGGTTTTGTTTTTAAATGCAATGCGCCCCTTTGACTCCTGACCTGCGTTTAGGGTTTTGGGTTTGGGGTTTTGGGCTACTTTCCGGCAGAATCACGTGCGGGCTTAAGGCTGCATGCACTTCACCCTACACACTAACCTTTTTGACATGATACCGTAGGACTCATCTGAAGAGCCCGAATGAGGACCCAAGTCTTCTTAGTCAGGTTCCTGTAGTAGGCTTCAGACAGGGTTGGTAAGGACAAGGGATCTTCGACCTGTCCCTTAGCAAAGTACAGCCTCTTTAGCACTTTGTAACACTAGTTTCGGGCAAACTGGCCTGGAAAACTAGCCGTGTATGGGACGAAAGCAGACAGACATCTATGTAATTGTTTGCGAACAATTCTCGACCATTCACCCCCACCGCAGAAACAAGTCTGTATTGGAATGCCGTGTCAAATGAATGAAAACTCCTGCCGCTGTGCACTGAGACCGTGAAGTCTACGCAGCAAACCCAGTGCCCAACTCTCAAGCCTAAAGTACTATCGATAGTCTCCATTGTAGTTCCTTCTGTTCTGGGGTTACCTTATAGGATCTTTAAAGTCAGTTCAACCAAAAGAAACTAGAATGGAGACTATAGGTAACCAGAGACCCACCCCTGAACCCTAAACCCAAAACCCTAAACCCGATACCCTGAATCCTGCAAACCCCAAAGCCCCAAGCCCAAAGATTGGCGACGCCTGTCCCGGAGCCTGTCGGCGGGGCACTGCCGGGTCACCGCCGCTGCCCTTAAAAGAGGCCGAGCTGCGTCCCAGGTGTGGGTCTGATGTAGCCAGGCTGAGCACGTCGATACGGGCCACCCACTGGCGACAAGGAGCAGAGCCGCTGCAGCCGTGCCTGCTGCGGCAGCCGCTGCGCCTTCGCTGCTAGCGCAGCTGGAGTAGTTCTGCAGGATGCGCATGTGCCGAGCGGCACTGTGAAACTAACCAGGAAGTCCACTCACGTGTGAGAGGAATTGGAGACGACGTAGCCGGTCCGAGGCTTCCTGCCGCCGCGCCTCCTCTTCCGTGTCAGCCCTTCCTTTGTAAATGGAGACAGGGATGTTGCGGGCCGCTGGCAGCGCGTTTAGGGTTTAGGGTTCAGGGCGTAGGGTTTTGGGTTTATAAGTAAGGTTTAGGTTTGAGGGGTTTTGGTGATCAACAGGCTAGCTTTAGGGCTTGGGGGTAGTGCGAGTTCGTCCGCTTAACACTGTGGGTCTTTGCGCCTATATACTATATACCCGAAGGATTGATAGACGGTGTTTGTTGTATTGGGTCTCCAATGGTGCTACTTAAGACCACGATCGTCTATACTTGGGCGCAAACAGCGCCCACGTGAAACCTGAAACTTAGACTGGTTCGTTCTCTACAACTATAAACCCTAAACCCAAAGCCCTAAACGCTTCTTTTCATATTTCCAAAAGCGACTGTAGTCTTATCAGTTGGAGCCCGCAAAAACCCGACCTCGAGAGGTATTTGGCCCCCTTAGGGGTAGAGGGTTTAAGGTTTAAGGGCTTAGGCGTTTAGGGGTTTGAGGTTTAGGGTTTAGGGTATAGGGTATAGGGGTTTAGGGGTTTAGGGGTTTAGAATTTAGGGTTTAGGATTTAGGGGTTTAGGGGTTTAGAATTTAGGGTTTAGGGTTTAGGGGTTTAGGTGTTTAGTCTGGAGTCTGGGACGCCGTCTACCTGATACAGATGCATAGCGGTGATATATGCCTACACCTGTCATTGATACATTGGCAATGTACGGATATATGGAGTATCTCGTAAGCCATGGGTTTTCATAGGTTTCTGTCTACTCATCTTGAAAGTGCGGTATAGATATAACTGTTTACGTGCATCTTCCTTCATTTTCGATTATAATTACCATAGCGGTCTGTTGCTGGCCCAGAATATTGAAGACTTGGCTTAAAAGGCCTTAAGTGACCCCCCAGCCCAGGGAACCCTCTCGGCAGACCCATGGCCCGGGGCAGGGCGGGGCGGGGGGGAGGGCCACACGGACGAGCTCGCGGCAGGGAGGGGGGGGGGCGGGGCAAAACACATAAAACATAAAAATATGTCTTTTTATTTAAATTGTTTTTTCTTGTTTTGTTGCCCCCCCGCCCCAGCGAAGTCGCAAGCTTTAGAGGAGGAGCTAGGTACTAGTTGATGCATTGTTTACACGTAGTATAAGGTCGCGCAGCCTCCCCTGACAGTACACCTAGTCGTCGCAAGTGCAGTTTGCGTTCATGATCCACATAAAACTCATTCATCGCAAACGCACACCGCCCTCACTTCCTATTCTGTATCAATTACACTTGCAAAGCTATACATATATTGCACGGTTTGGCGACAGGCTGTTCGGTGTCTAGCTTTTTTTGCTGTGGCGTTCTTGAGGCGTCAACTGGTCACACTTGGCGAGCAATGCAACGGCCAGCATTCTTCAATGCCCCTTGTACGCATACGCACGCATACCCACGCATATGCACGGGCATCCGCACACACACACACACACACACGCACACTTGTTCTCAAAGGATGATCACACTCATGATTGGCTTTTCTGAATCACAAACTTCTGGCTGTTTCCTGGCTGACACGTGCATGTGTCATTGGCTTTGCAATCATGAAAACCGATTGCGGCAACTGTGCATGCACGCAAACAAAATACTGGCAGCTGCAAATTGTGCTTGATGAATGCACCAACTGCAAAAACCCATTTACTGCGAAGAAGCTATATGCTCTTATACGTTCAGTATCACCTGCAGGTACGAAACTGAGCGTCCTCAGTGATATGCTCACCTCATACAGACCAGTGGGGGGCCTCTGCCCCTGCTCATGAAAAAAGGTTGCAAGCATACGAAAAAAATAGCATGACGTTGGGGAGTGACGTCCCTTGGCCCATGAGCTAGGACAGTTCACACCCACACACACTCACATACACCCACACACACACACACACGGTCACACGCCCAGACTGACTCCCTCTCCCTCTCCTTCTCCTCTCCCTCTCCCTCTGTCACTCGTGGACAACTGGCTGAAGGCTGACATTCGAAGGCACTTCTGCATATTTAGGCTCCCAAGCATCCTCGACGATTCGCAAGGAATCCGACTGGACCACGCAGGAAAGAGTACAGACTGGCATGTGAAGATATACGAGAATGTCCTTGCTGAGGAACTCAGCCAGAGACGGGCGCTTGGCTCGACCTCCCAAGGAGTGCCGAGCAAATCAGTCGCTGAGGCCGCCGAGGCCGCCGAGACCGCCGAGAGCCGGGCCCAGCCACTTCTCCAGGACCTGGCGTTTCTGGCACCTGAAAAACGAGACGCGGAGACCCTCAGCGGTCAGCGGCTTCAAGCTCCCGCCTCGGCCTCCGGAGCCTCAGCCTCAGGACGCACCCTCTCTAGCACACTGGCGGCAAGTCGTGAAACCGGCGACATTCCACTGACGTTCCACGGTCTGCGGCTGTATGCGAAAGAAGGACACTGCCAGTCAGCCATTGGACAAGACTTCCCCTTCATTGGCGGCGCGAACGAAATGAAACGAGCCCTGAACAATGCCGAAACAAAGCCGAAAGGCTCCTGCACAAGCTCAGGACAGGGCCGTTTCCGCTTCCTGCGACGTCTTCGCGGAACTGGCACATGGCGTCGGTGTCGGCGGCGGCCCGGAAAAGCACAGCTCCTGGCGACAAGGCGGGGGCTTTCTGGCCTGGGCCCTGGGCCCGTCACGCGCGTATGCTCCTCCAACGGCAAATCCACAGAAACCTCCGGCAGAGCCCACCAGCCGGAGCGGTCGGACTTGCTCGCTTCGACTGTGGGTTTGGACTGTTTGGATGCCGGAAAATTCTGGACCTTGCTTTTGCCTCCAGGTCGTGAAGCGACGGCTGCAACTGCTTTCCGTTTATGGGACGTTGCAGCTTCCCTGGTCTTGCTGGCTTGCGGCTGGAGCATCTTGACGTTGATTCTGTTCGACGTCAGCCAAGCGCCCCAGTCCTCGCAAGGTTAGGGTCACAAGAGGTAGAACTTTGAGTTGTGACTTCTTTTCTGCTAGATGTAACTCCAGCTTTTTCAACAAAATGACTGAGTTATAACTTATAACTTTCTTCGGCTCCCAAAACAGCAAGTCTTTTGAGAGGACAGCAAAACAGGCATCTAGCACCCAGCCACTAAGTTTTTCTGGTGTGTTAGCTTTTTGCTGGTGTATTCGCGCCAAACCACAATTTTTAGTGCTGTATTTAGCAGCAAACCAGAACCGTCACACATGATTCATTTAGGGTTTTCGTCTTCGGTAAATGGTTCTCGCTGGATTCACTCTGTAAGCTTTTCGTGTTGGGCAAAAAGTTCCCGCTGGTCCACTCCTTAAGGTTTTCGTCTTGGGTAAAAGGCCCTTGCGGATTCCTGCTGGTTTCACTCCTGAAGGCTTTCGTCTTCGGTCAAACGGTTCCTGCTGGATTCACTCTTCAGCGTTTTGGTGTTCAGAAAGTTCCTGCTGGATTCGCTCCTTAGGGCTTTCGTCTTCGGCAAAAGTTTCTTGCTGGATTCACTTCTTAGGGTGTTCGTCTTGGGTAAACGCTTCTTGCCGGATTCACTCCTTGGGATTGTCGTTTTCGGTCAAAGCTTTGCCGGATTCACTCCTGAGGGTTTTCGTCTTGGGTAGATGGCTCCTGCTGGATTCACTCCATTGGTTCCACTCCTTAGAGTGTTCGTCTTGGGTAAGGGTTCTCGCTGGATTCATTCCGTGTTGGCGAAGAGGTTCTTGCTGGATTGGGTTTTCGTCTTGGGCAAAAGGTCCCTGCTGCATTCACTCGTCTGGTTTTCGTCTTTGGATTCACTCCTTAGGGTTTCCGTTTTGGGTAACGGTTCTCAGACCCCTGCTGGTCTTCCAAAGTTTCTACAGATCGAAGCACATTGGGGAACGCCCGCGGCCTGCGAGGCCGGTCGAGGATGACGAGTGGTACGAGTCCCATGTTGGGACGGGGATCCAGGAACTTTCTCAGAGTTCGTGGAGGTTGTATGCGCAGGGGACTGCACCTCAGAAGAGACCTCAAGTGGCACCCTGCATAGCAGCGGAACTGACTGGCTCAGCCAGACGGTTTATTACCGGCAACTGCAGAGTGGCTGTCGTTTCATGGTGGAGTGCAACGTCTTTTGGACCGCTTGAGAGAAGGGCTAGGCCGGCCAAAGATCGCCGAGGTGACGGAGCACTTGAATAAGCTTTTCAAGGACAATCGCCGGAAACCCCGCGATTGAGTATGTGGCCAGACGAAGCGAAACTTACTTGAGAGCCCGCAGGCCATAGCCAGCACAACGGGAGCTGGGAAACTATGTGGGCCAGTGGAAATGGAGTCTACTCCAGAAGATGAGGCCACAGAGGGCAATCAGGATGAAGCTTCAACAACAACTCCGGCTAATGGTCCTGGAACAGCAGCTGTGTTGGTGGAGCTCAGCTCCCTGGTGGGAGCCATGGCTACTGGGCCGCCGCGACGACAAAAACCAGGAGGAGGATGCCTACGACGTGATGGACGAGGCCGAGGCCCAGGAGTCGCTCGACGATGAGAGTTTTGCGATGTGGCTCAGCAGGACATCTAAGAGGCAATGGCAACTATGGGAGCGGCACGAAGGACCTTGAAGGGCGCTTGTGCCCGGCAGCATGCCGCGAAGATGTCGAGGCAGTACTGCAAGGTGGGAAGCTTCAGGGAGCAATGCGAGCACCAAGCCGAAAGATGACTCTCAAATCGTATGTCTTCGGTGCTGAAAGAAGGGGCACCGAGCAGCAAAGTGTCGTCTCCCTCCTCCAGCGGGAAACGTGACCACCGTGGAGACGGCATCCTCCATCCGCTACTCGGAGCTCTACCAGGACAAGGTGTCGCAACAGCCCGACGCAGTGCCAGCAGATCTCGATTCTCCAGCAGCAGACGTGACCACCGTGGAGACACAGGACTTCATCGGCTACTCGGAGAGCGACAACAAGGACAAGGAGTCCATCTCCACACAGGCGGCCGTGGCACAAGGAAAGGCCATCAGGGACTGCGGAGCCACGAGGAGCGTTGGATCTATCTACGCGCTGGAAAGGCTCATGGAGATGAACATCAAGGCGAGAGGCAAACCAGGTGGGGCATACCAACAACGTTCGGGCGGACTAGTCCGTTACCCTAGGAGTTAGGAAAGTGCTCGGTCGGCTACACACTCGCACTCGCGCTTCCCTTTTTGGTAGCCGTTGCATGGAAACCGGAAGTCTGGTGAGACACCACTGTCCTGGCGGACGGATTCGACGAACCCGGTCCTTTTGGCTGCGGTCGGACCAAAGATGATCGAGCCGCATGCTTGACCCGACAGGGGAACCGCACCAAAAGAAGCTCAAGCAACGGCCAAAGAGAGGAACTAAGAAGCGCAGAATCCAGAGAAGGGTTCGGCCGACGGAAAGAAGTGCATGGACGGAGCGGCCGACATAATGGACCAATCGATGTCCACGGATTGGGACGGCAGAAACCCAAAGGTTGCCGGGTCGGAGGCACGGCTCAATCCATCGGCAACGTCGTTGGAAATCCCGGGAACATGATCCACATGCACGGAGATGCGCAGGCGCTCTTGAAGTGTGAAAAAAGAACGGAGCACGGAACAGAGGCCGTGAGCCATAGAAAGACCTTTCCAGGATGCCGATTCTGTAGCGGAATTGTCGGAGCGGAAGACCGTGTGACAGGGTAAGTGACCCTCGCCCAGCAGGCGATGAAGAAGAAGCAAGAGAGCGGCCTGTGACGCGAGCTCCCATGTGGCAATGTAAGATTGCAGAGAACAGTCGGGCGGGAGCCACGGAAA